TTTTGACGGAATCGAGCAATGTCTCACTCACGCGCCACGGGTCGACCGCATGCTTCAGCGTTGAATCTCTTCGTCTTATGCCCTTCTAGTGAGCTCCAAGCCAGTGCTGGGCAGATATGCATCGTTATTTTCTCCGTCAAGCCCCCTCCTTCCCAAACCTGTGGATTCGATGCAAGTCAGGCAGCCTTCGCCCTGCACCAGAATACATCCGTTCTCCCGACCCCAGTACCTGTCTCCTCCTTCTCCTCTCCGGACTTGGGCGAGACTTGTGATTCTAGCTGCGTTCTGGCAGCCTGTAAACTGGCCTGGGAGAAAACCAGAGTACATTCCCGCCTCAAGATGGCGGATGCAGGCCCGACCGAATGGGTGTAGGTACACGCGAAATACATGCCTCGTTCCCCCGCCTCGTTGCCGACTTGGGGCCTAGATGCCGTAGCACGGTCAATAGACTCGTGCGTTGCAGGACACCACCCCCAACCTCCGATTGACGGCTGCCCCTCGGCTCGCAGGAAGAAGAGGGAATTAACTTGCGCAGAGCAGCAGAATCGAGGAAGAAAAGAACGATGCTCTCAAGTAACGCTGATGTGCCGTTACTCCCTGCTTCGAGCCGGCTGTTGTCCGTCCCAGGGAATCAACTTCGCTTTCCAAGCTGGAAGATCTGGAGTCAAGCCGGCCGGAGCCAGAATGTGTGAGACATTGCAAGACAGACCGGTAGGACAAACCGCTGGAACGGGTTACTCCATCCGAAGATGGCGGACGACCTGGACGGCACGACGGCTACATACAGGAACTAGCGTAAGGTGCTGGAGGGCAGCACCCAAGACGCAGAGAAGAAACCTTGAGTGCCTTCCTCGAGGGCAGAGACAAGATGAGGACCGGGGCCCAGAGTTCGGATAAGCAAGACCGGCAACTGTCCCGTGCGCATCGAACCTTTTTGATGGGAAGAGAGGCGGATCAACCGACTCGTGAAAGCCAGCCGGGCTGCTTCCGCTCCGTACACCACCACCACATCCTTGTGAACCCAACGAGAACAGTCTCTTTTCTGATGAAGGACTCGAGGGATTCAACGCAATTCGGCAGGCAGCAAGCATGCCCGCCTATTGCCGGGTAATACACAACGCAAGCAACGTGGTCGTGGTGGTGGTGGTGGTGAGGGGGGCGAGATGGGATTCATTCGCACTTGACCCTTTTCGCTTGACGTCCCTCCGTTCCGGGTGCTCGATTCGGGCCCTGATCTTCCAGATCATACCCTGCACCGGACCCTGAATTGACTGTCCCTGAACCCTCACGGAACGCACCACGTTGCTCGGTGCCCCTTCCCCCGCCCAGTGGTGCACATCAAAACGTCCGCAGCGAGGTTGTCAACAGATTGACAGTCCATCAGATGTCTCTGTATCCGCCAAAAAAAAAAAAAAAAAGACACGGGAGAAATAAAGCGGTGGATTGAATGCTCCGGAGGCGCCATTGGCCCTGCCCCTTCCAGCTCACCACGAGGGTACCTCGCGAGTAGTGTGCGGCCTGGCCCATTTGAGTTTTGTGGAGAGGGGCACAACGGCGAGAGACGGGCAGAACGTCTACTACACTAAATACGACCATCACCACCACCACCCTCAGACCACATCAGTGTTAACGCTTTATGGAATGGCCTATCGATGAGGATGCTAACGTGCCCGCAAGAAGAGAATATCCGGAAGGTCGTCGAGAGCACCTCCCCCCGCCCCCCCCCCCCCCCCGACCTCGCAACATCCTTGGCGCGAATGAGAGACGGGAAAAAGACTCTCCTCGGCCGTCACCCGTTAATGTCTGCGACAATCGCACCTGGAGGTCATTAAACTCGCCGACTCCTGGAAAGAAAAGAAGAAACAACTCCTTGACATCCAAAGTGGCCCCAAGGACCATTGTAGAGAAACGAGTCCCATCGTCGACGCGTCGCAGATCATTTTGGAGAAACATCCCGCCCGCTGCTCTCCACCACGTTTTCGACGAACCACTCCCGTCGCATTTCGCCGGCTGGCTGCCCATCCCATCCGCCCCCGTCATGTCGATCCGGCAGCAGCCAGCCATGCGGTCGCTCGCTGGCTGAATTGTAGAGCAGCAGCAGCCCTCCCGTGGTTGCTTCTTTCCTCGGGAGCGTCTTGGTAGTCGCATTATTAGCGTGGTTATGGGCATTTGGTGCGTGAGCACAGCGCCATCTTGGCTTCATAGCGCATCCCTCTTGAAGTCTTGACCGGGCCTCAAGAGTTTAAACAGTTCGGCGCCGGACGCGGATGCAGAAGGAAATGTGTAGCATGTAGTTGAAGGCTGAGAGTCAGACTCTACAAGAAGGGACATACCTGGGACATGGGGGTCCAGCCAGCCAGCCAGACAGCCAGCCAGCCGCTTCTGGCGTCAGGTGAGTGAAGCCGCCGAGGAAATGGACGGGTCTCCGAGACCTGCCACCCGAGTGCCAAGATCATCCACCACTCTTCAGAGGAGACCCCGGCCGACCCGACCCCCCCTTGTCCCGTGTGCTCCGTCCTCCAGTACGTATCTTACCTCAGAGGTACCTGCGATTACCTCACAGCAACGAAGCTGATGCTGGGTGCCTGAATAACAGTCATCTCTCTCTCTCTCTCTCTCTCTCTCTCTCTCTCTCTCCTCAAAGCCACTTCCAATGCAACCTCAATTCAACCCGGGGTGGAGCATGATGATGATTGATCAGCTCTACCTTCTTCCACCTTTTGAGCCCAGCTATATCCAATTTATAGAGGTTTACGCTATACTATGAAAATTCTGTTTATATTTTAATAGATACCTACTAAGTATCGTAATACTATTTATAATAACTAAGAAAGCTTCAATCTAAATTTGTAAAAATATTATTAATAACCTTAATAGCTTATAGATAACTTATTATACAAGATTATATAAAAAGAAAAAAATAAGTTTATTTTTCTTTTATCTATTAATTATTTTTAATAAAATTAATTTATGATATTAAAATTTATATTAACTAGAACATTAACTATAAAAATAACTAATAACTAGATAAGAGTAAAATATTTTTTTATCTAAATAATAAAAAAACAAAAATATAAATTTAAATAATTTATCAATAATTCTTTTAATATTTTAAGCAAAAATAATTATAAAAATTACTATAAATACTTTATTTATATCTTATAAGTTACTACATATCTCTTATATTTATAAAATAGTGAGTTAAATATAAATTATATCTATTTATAATTCTAATAAATATATCAATAAATAAGAACTTTATAAAAACTTAATAATAAAGAATTTAAAAAGATATTAATAAATTAAAGGAAATTTTATTTGAAATTTTATAACAAAAGGATTATATAAATAAAATAAGTATAGTAATAGCTACAGTCTTTTTTAGCTACTAAAAATAGGAAGGGAGAAGTAAAGAGGGAAAGGGGGTAGCTGTAAAGGTAGCCTGCGTACTAGTAGAGTTTCTAAAAAAGTACACTTTAATACACTATGTCACTTCAAAAAGATCAGCTCTACCTTTGCTGCGACGCAAACTGCCCTCCCGCCCTTCGCCTGCTGCTCCAAATTACCAACAGCTTTCGGACCATGTTCCGCGGGCCCGAGACCGCTGCGTCAGTGTCCATCTGCAGTAGAAAAAGAATGTAGACAGTTACGCGTTTCGTAGGATCATGATGCATCTGTGAAGACGATATGCCACAGAAGCAAGCGCCATAGGTTCATGGTCCAGGCTCAACGAGTGCCTCCTTTCTCCCTCTCTAGTTGATCGCTCCTTTACTACTTAATAGTACAAAGACGGTTCTGTCGGCCGAGGAGAACCGGGTTTCCAACGTGTCGGGTCGTCATTTTACATGATTCAAGGGTGAGGGAAGGATGATCAAACTGCGGAGAAGATGCGAGCAAAACTTGAGACGAAAAAAATACACACACAGAGCACAGGCCTCGGTTTCGGCTGCTTTGCTCCATCTCTCTCTTTGTCTCCCTCTCAACCTCGCCCGCGTGCCTGCATTAAATCGGATTCTGAACCATTATTGGTGCTATTGGTGAGCGTTAAATTGTGTTGGTTTGGACCTGTTTGGGGTTTCCGCAGCGGATGACCCTCTTTCGACGATCCAGGTCCTACCTGCCTAGGTGCAAAGCAGATGTTGACAGGTCCCTTTCGGTGTACACAATGAGGGTGGGAGGGACATGCCTTATTTTTTTTTTGCTCTCGGTCGTATCGGCTTCGGCGCCGGATCTGTGAGAGGGATGATGGGTGTGGCTAAGTCGATTCGACGCAGAGCTCATCTGAAACGACGACTTGGCCGCGATGCCCTTCCTCGCCATGGACAATACCTAATGGCCTATAGAGATGCCGAGGAGAGTGGGCGCGATTGGCTTGTGTTTGCGATGGGCGTTAACGACGGATGGCTGTGGTTGGCTGTGCGCTTCTGACAACCCGTCGAAACTCGTCGTGATGGTTTCCATAAGAAGTTCTATACTCAAGTCCTGTTAATCCTTAACCTTCCGCTGGCTATGCACACCGAAGCTCGCAAGCCCGCGCCCACCTTGGTCTCTTAGTCCGCATGGAGCATCAACTTCTTGTTGTTCATTATCGCTTCCACCTGTTCCGAAAGGGTTGTGACGACAGCCCGTCCCTCCGCTTCTCAACTGGACGGGTTCGCATCCATGCAAAGTGCAGGTCAATGTGTTTTCACTGGCTGGTCAGGACAGGGCATACGCAATAAACATCTGTATTGTGACGGTGGATAAACGGGCTTCCTTGCCCTCCCGAAAAGATGGCGATGTTGAGATGCTCGACAGACGGCATTTCAACTTCCTTTTTGAGTCTCTCCCGACAGCCAAGCAACCCACATATGCGCCTTCGCACAAATATCATGTCCCATTAACCCATATCAAGCCGGTAGTCGGAGAAAGTTGGCCCCTATCCTGTACACTATATTTGCAACGCATCGTCTCAGGGGGCTCGTATTTAAACAGTTGGTTCTCGGCTCGTCTCGCTTCGTTCATTGAGTCTTGAAAAGGAGGATGGCGCAGTGACCGAGGTAGAAGTAGATGAAGTGCTTAGTCTCTGCATTCGAGTGAAAGGTCAGCATATGCCATCAGAATATCTTCCATCATGCTGGAAGTCTCGATCTGCCCAATAGGGTGGCTGAGGTTCCTTCCCCGAGCCTTGCTTGCGCAAGTAAACGTACCGTGCGTCACAAAGCTACCGAAGTTGCGGCCGACAATACAGTGCCATGTAGGACCCTTGCGCTCGTCGAACTATAAGTATTCCCAGGTGAGCTTAGGCAGGACGCGCGGTGGCAAGGCGAAGTGAGCTTACAGTGCGCTTGATGTGCTGGGCAATATCCTGCGATTTGTGTCAATGCAAGGCCTCGAGAGAGTTGTCTGGTTGAACGTCTCCAGTTGACGATGCGCACCTTCTCAATGGTGAACTTGGCCATGGCCTCCTGGGCTATAGAGGGGTGGTCAGTACCGCAGCGGGGATCCAGGAGGGGCTTCCGGAGATGACGTTACGTACCGACTTCGATGCACTCTTGCTGCATGTCCTCGGTCTAGAATGATCCGCGTCAGTGCTGTACGGAGGCGCTTGAACGGTATGTGAGCCTTACCATATCAGCGCTCTTGACCTGAGCTAGATTCCTCATATGTCAGCCTCGCCGGGCCCATAGCCAACATCGTAGACCGCTCCGGATCGGCAGACTCACCTTCCAACTTTTCCCGGGGAGCGGGCGAGGTGCTCTTAGCGTCGGCCATTTCGAAGTCGGAGAGATTGAGGAGGTTCCTAAGGTTGCGATGCTGCTGTCAGCATCGATACGGAATGTCCATCGTGCGTAGTTGAGCCTAGGCCCCTTTTCTCGTTCGCCGTCGATTGCTGCGCCATGCAGTCGGCAAGGTACTCACTAGATCAGAAGTCGACTTCGCGAAGCTGTCAGCAGTTGCCTGGAGCAGTAGCAGAGATCTCACTTACACTGACGGGCTTGATACGGAGAATTGGGTTCGTTGAATGTTGTCAAAAGCAAGTATCGTCGCGTGTTTTGGCCAACCTGACAAAGTGCCCGCGACGGGAAGGGTCCCATTTGGTCGAGTCGGGTTGCCATGGGCACGGGCCATGCGTCCTTCCCGGCACCTCAGTCATGCGCTAAACTGTTGACAGCCACGGTCTATGTGGGCACTGCGGGACAGGTCACATGTCGATAGCGATAAGAGCAACTGGGGACGAAAAAAAAAAAACTTCGAGACAAGTCCCGTTCGCAACCTGGATGTCAACAAATCCTTCTACACTCTTCTTCACACTCTCGACAGCATGGCCTTGGGTTTATAGCAGCAACATCCCAGAGCAGTCTACGCTCATAATATCTCTTCCTCTTTCTTATCAACGTGTTCTTTGTTTCTGAGATACCCTTTTCTTTTACACCATGGCTAGCATCGACGCTGCCACTCCTGCATTGGAGACCTCCCGGATCTTCGTCAGAGGGCTGCCACCTAAGATCACCGATGCCGAGTTTCGAAAGCACTTCTCGGCTGGTGGTCGCGAAGTGACCGACGTCAAAGTCATCCCACAGAGGAGGATCGGCTATGTTGGATACAAGACTCCGGACGTTGCTGCCAAGGCGGTCAAGTACTTCAACAAGTCTTACGTCCGCATGTCGAGAATCAATGTTGAACTTGCAAGGCCGGTACGTTCGAGAAACCTCCAGGTAAACACACTATGACCCCTATATGCTTACGTCTTTGCCATTTCAGATTGCAGATCCCGCCCTTCAGAAGACGAGGGGGGTGAGCGGGCCGTCATTTGTGGCGAAGATGTCAGATTCAGCAGCCCCTCTATCACCTAGCGCCGAGCAGGATGATGGCTCGAAGAAGAAGCGCAAGCGCGAGGAGGTGGATGAATCCAATCCCAAGCTGCGCGAGTACTTGTCAGTCTTTCAGCCTGGGAAGAAGTCTGCTGCCGATGAGATGGCGGATATGATGGCCCCTGCTGCTGTTAAAGAGCAGAAGAAGTTGCTTGAAGATGGCGAGAGTGACGATGAATATGAGGCCATCCCGGCTCGGCCTGAGAAACGGCGGATGAGGGAGGCACAGAAGGGAGACCAGCGCCCCGCGGAGCCTTTGCCTGAAAAGGACGAGCCCATGCCGGACGCTGCCTCTGTCGCCGACCCTGAGCCAGACGCGACTCAGGAGGAGGGTGCTGTCCCCGCTGCTGGTGTCAATAACAACGCGGCAACTACAGACGATGATTGGCTCCGTTCGAGGACGAACCGTCTATTGGACCTCGTGGATGACGACGAGGTACCCCAGCCGGTACCCCAGCCCTCAACTCAACGAGACAATCAAGAGACAGTCGGAAGCGCATCCGCGGTCAACCACGAGGAACCCGTGGAGTCCTCCGAGAAAGCCGAGACAGAAAGTCCAGCTGGAGCCGGCGACGCCCCGGCCCCCTCTGAGAAGAAGGCTGCGGAAGACGAGGACGACACCCTTGCCACCATCAAGCGAACCTCCAGACTTTTTGCGCGTAACCTAGCCTACAGTGTCAACGAAGAGGATCTGCGGGCGCACTTCGAGCAATTCGGAGAGCTTCAAGAGGTAAGCAGCAATACTTTTTTACATTTGGAACCGCCACTGTGCCCGACAATCATGTGATGAATCCAGATAGGGACAGCTGACATCGAATGATGTTTGATGCGAACCTTGGATCAGTATTTTAGTAGATGCATTGACTTTCTGAAAAATGATTTATTCTCTCGGCTTTTCATGGACATTTCATGACAAGACTTTGATTGCTAATCTTCTGGACAGGTACATCTGCCGGTGACTGCTACTGGCGCAAGCAAGGGCTATGCCATGGTCCAGTTCACGAATGCCGACTCTGCTGTCACCGCATTCCAGTCCTCGGATGGTCAGACTTTTCAAGGGCGACTTCTACACATCTTGCCCGCTGCGGAAAAGCGCAACACAGGGCTGGACGAGTTTGCAATCTCCAAGCTGCCCTTGAAACAGCAAAACCTGATCCGAAAGAAGGCGGAGGCTGCGTCTAGCTCCTTCAACTGGAATTCACTGTACATGAACCAGGACGCTGTCAACGCCTCGGTCGCCAGCCGCCTGGGTGTGTCTAAATCAGAACTGCTGGATCCCACGTCGGCGGACGCCGGTGTCAAGCAGGCCATCGCCGAGACGTCGATCATCCAGGAAACTAAGGCATACTTTGCATCGAATGGCGTAGATCTCGATGCCTTCAAGTCACAAAAGCGGGGCGACACGACCATTCTGGTCAAGAATTTCCCCTTCGGGACGACGATGGAGGAGCTGAGGACCATGTTTGAGGAGCACGGCACTGTCCTGAGGGTGCTGATGCCACCCAGTGGTACCATTGCCATCGTCGAGTTCGCCCAGGCCGCACATGCTAAAGCAGCGTTTGCCAAGCTCGCTTACAGGCGGATCAAGGACACCGTCCTGTTCTTGGAGAAGGGGCCTAAGAACCTTTTCAAGAATGATGCCTCAGTAAACATTATGCAGGGCAAGGAAGATCGGCCCGTAGGCGTGCAGAAGCTCAGCGTCACTGAGCTTCTGGAGCGTGGTGAGCAGGGCGAGGCAGACATTCAGACAACGTCGCTGTTTGTCAGAAACCTGAACTTTTCCACTACGACGGAGAAGCTGGCCGAGATGTTTAAACCGTTGGACGGTTTTGTGTCCGCTAGGGTGAAGACAAAGATGGATCCCAAGAAGCCAGGGCAGGTGCTCAGTATGGGATTCGGCTTTGTTGTCTTCAAGACAAAGGAGCAGGCTTCAACGGCTCTCAAGTCAATGGACGGGTTTGTCCTCGACGGTCACACCCTCGCCGTCAAGGCCTCCCACAAGGGCCAGGATGCGGCGGAAGAGCGCCGCCGTGAAGACAAGGCTCGCAAGGCGGCGGGCCAGCGTACCAAGATCGTCATCAAAAACTTGCCCTTCGAGGCAACCAAAAAAGACATTCGCACGCTGTTCAGCACTTACGGCCAGCTCAGAGCTGTACGCCTGCCCAAGAAGTTCGGCAACTCAACTAGAGGTTTTGCTTTTGCAGAGTTTGTCACCCCTCGGGAGGCGGAAAACGCGCTCAACGCTTTGCGAGACACCCATTTGCTTGGCCGCAAGCTTGTTCTTGACTACGCCGAGGCGGAGGCAGTCGATGCCGAGGAGGAGATTGCCAAGATGCAGCGCAAGATCGGTGGCCAGGTCAGCAAGGTCGCCCTTTCGCAGCTCATGGGCCAGGGCAGGAAGAAGGTCAACATCGGCGAAAATGCCGACGAGATGGATATGTGAAAAGGGAAATGATTCGAGAACTAAATAAATCTAAAAGAGAGTCCATCTGCGCCTCTGTTACGGCACCCAACGCTTCGCGCCAGTCTGCTCCTCATCGATGGTATCATATGTTGTGTTATTCCAAGTTTCCCACGCAGTGGACCCGAGAACATTGTACTCAAATTCGTAGGTTTTGCTTTTGCCCCTTGGAAGGTCATACATTTTCTTTAAGTCCAGTGTCTACCCAGATTTGTGATTCTGTACGCACGTCTGTCTTGGTCATCCCTAGCTCCGAGACTTGATCTGCCCGATCGCACCCCGCCCTGCCCTTTTCGCCCTTGTTCCCTTCTGACCAATTTTACCTCCCTCCTGCAAGAAATAATCCGTCCCGCTATTGGCTTTCCCCATATCATGCAGAGACGGGAACCAAGGAGGCGGCCAACGGTGGGGTTGCAGAGGGCGGCTTACCGTTCAATATGCTCCTAGCTGCCTCCGTGCACCCAAACAGCAATGGCAATAGCTTCAAGTGCGAGGTTCATTGCCATCCCCCATCACCGTCATGATCAAGATCATCAACACTGGCGAGTATGATGAAGGGGCAAAACAAAACAAAACGCTATCCAAAACTTTAGGTTCCTCATCATCGACCTCTGGCCACCCTCGCCTCCTTTGCCCCGCTGGCAGGAATGCGTCTCTCCCCTTTCTTGAGCTTTGTCTCTTTCCAATCATGGCAGCATGCCAGAGCCCGGTGCGCTATGCCCTTTATCTCTGTCTGTTTTTACCTCCACGTGCTGATTTTCCAGCCCTCTCTCCGTTGCTCTCTGATCCCGCGCAAGGCTCCGGGGAGTTCTGGGTGGTCACCACGAAACAGCCACACGCTCTCTCCAGCCATGCGTGTGGTCTTGCCTTTCCTCTATGGATGACCTTCTCTCTAAGCCAAAATGGCAACGGCTGATAGACAGATGTGGCCGGCAAGTCGTACTGGTGCATATGGTGGTGGGTGGGTGGTACGTGCAGATCTACCGAATCGCACTTCAAGACCCAAGTTGATCTGTTCCCATGAGCAAACGTTCCTCGACCAACCCCCTTGCATGCCATTGCCTCGATTCGGCCACCCCTCCAGCTCAACTAGCTTCACGATTTTCCATGTGGGGTTACCCTTGTCGGAGTCGACGTACGTACATGCACACACACTTTTGGGTCCGTCCCAGGGCGAAGGGAACCAACGGCCTTTTCCCATCGACCTCGATGAAGCTGTCAAGTCATGTCAGTCAGGTTCCGACGGTGTTGAATCGAGCCTACCACCACGCTATTTGCACCCTTCTCCCTAACTTGCCTGATTGGATTCTTTCTCTCCTCGCTCTCTCTCTCCTCGACCAGGCATGTCTCCAGCCCTGCCTGTGCTCCATCCTCTTACCAAAATGAACCCCGCCCTCTATCCTTCCCCTCGCATCCTGTCCAGCTCCCCTCCGGAGCCT